GCATCAAAGACAGACTGATCTATGAAGAAAGGGGAGAACGGAAAGTAATTTTACACACTCTTGTGTTACTTTTTAACTTGCGTACACGGCTTGTAGGTATTAACCAGATATTGGGAACGTATATGCCTCATCTCAGTGTTGAAGCTAACGAGTTTATGTTAGATCTACAGGAAAACATTTAACAAAGAGTTACGTATATTCACACGAGACTAAACGTCGTCATCATCAGAAAGTGCACCCGCCGGCCTCCCGCGTTTCAGAGACTCTTTGGCCATTAGAATCAGCATCATTTTCATAAATGACTCGTTGCTTTTACGATCCTCCTGCCGACATGCCCTTTCCTATCCACGATCCTCTTCTGGCATAGTCCTCTCTTCTTCCCTGCGAGCCCGTTCCTCCGCACATTCAGCCTCCCTCCTATGCCGTTCTTCTTCCCTTCCCTCTCGGTCTTGGAGCATCGAGTGCTTCAGAATTGCCAAAAGCTCGTCCTCTTGCTGCCCTTGGCGTGGATGGCGATGTACAAGTGCTCGAACAGTCGCTGTGCCTGAGACAGGAACGGCAGGTTCTGGAAAGTCATTGCTACTATTACGCATGGCCTCATCATTTCTTGCTTCGTTCTCTTCGATTTCAGCGTCGTCTTCCTCGTCCGGAAACAAATGTGGCAGCTCGTTTGCGTCGCCCCCGGAGCCAAGGTCTGCTCTTTCTGTCATTTTACCCTTGATTTTCTTTGCCCATTTCACATCATTAGGTATCATAGGGTCGCCTGTGGGGATGCGTTTTCGGTGCAGAGAGGAAAATTTACGTTTCAGAGAGTCCATTGTGCGGAGCGCACGCGGATATCTACTGCTATGTAGTGACGCGACATGGTCCCATTTGTCTTGGCATAGCTGTAAAAACTCTTCCAGTATCTCCAGTAGACTTTCTACCTCTTGTAGACTAAACCCAGATCCCCTTCCTCCAACTGAGGCAGCACGTCTGCCTCTCCTTTCTGCGGAAGCTTGCGTGGCGGTACTAGGACGTCTTGGTCTAGTAGTGTGGCGAGGAGCCGACGGCAGTACATTCGGGGATGGATCAAAGCAAAAAAGACCGGGAGGAGTAGCAACTCTCGCGTTGTTGTGACGGACATGTGGTGCTGTAATGGAGGAGCCGGTAGGACCACGCACTATGTTTGATAAAACCGGGGGTAGAGGCGCTTCGATATCATGCTCGCGAGGTGAGGTCGGGGGGAGTACAGTAGCCGCTGTCGGGAGAGCGCTCAGGGAGTAATCAGATAAACGGCGAGAAGTCTGTTGTTGTTCTGGACGAGGAACGACAACTGTGTTGAGAGGAGGTTCCATATCGCTAAGGAGCGGCAATGGAGGGGAAATGCACAGTCTTTTGTTCAAGCGGTGATCTTGGAAGATCTGAGTAATGAAGGATCAGTTGAGAAACTCAAGTCGCAAGATCCGATCTCGAACTGTTAATTTGATAAATGTGCACTGTACTATTTAACCTCGTACGGTGTGCAGCTCTGTACAAATTTGAGATTTGTGTGTGCACAATAGGCCAAAGCGATTGAATCCTGGGTCGTTTGTGTCCACGAAAAATAATATTTTGTGTTTTTAGGTTTGACCCAATACAGTAGTTTCGCGATAAAAGAAACGAGTTAGGAGAAGGGGTCCGGTTCCTTTTATCGCGGGGTTCCCGTTATCAAAGCTTATCATACCGATGATTCTCAGCCAATTACAACATTCGACTAAAATTTAATTGAAAAACATATCAATGGTGGTCTGTTTCGCGCCCTGATCCGCCTCCAACCGGACGAACCGTTGCAAATTACGCATCGCGCACAAAAAAGCGAAATTATCGACACCCGCACATGTCGCAATCCTTTTCGTCAGCGCCAGCGCCCGCAGCTGTTCTGCACTTCCAAGAAGGGCGTCTAGATCTTCAAGCCCCTCCTCCTCTGGTGGATCATCTGCTATTGCTGAATCAATTAGCTCTTGATCACCTACACACTGTATGCAGTCATCCTCCTCTTCCGGATTCAATAAATCGGCAACACTACGCCGCCGCCTCTGTGTAACTAACTCCCCGATCTGGCTTTCAAGGCCTGATAATAACGCCCGTTCCCTTGATTCTATAGCAACATCTTTCACAGCGGAAATCAAACCACAGTGCCTCCAACAATTAGCAATTACATCACTAGGAAGCTCCTCCCATGCCTTTTTGAACCATCTCATCGCTGTAAGAACATCCACCTTGTATATTTTTTAACCTCTGCGTCGACATTGTCTTAAGCTCGTTCCGTATGCATGCGTCTGTACCTTAATTTGAGTGCTGCAATTACCCCAGCGTCCATAGGTTGAATTTTGGACGTGCAGTTGGGAGGTAAAAAGACCACACGAACATTAGGTAGAGACGGCAGCATCTCAACTGTAGCATGTGCGCTGCAGTTATCGATGAGCAAAACCACTTTGCGCTCTGGATCTTTAGCCACAAATTTTTGAAAGCGTTGAAGCCATTCTATAAAAAATGGTCGTCATCCATGCCTTCTTGATGGAATGGTATTCGAAGCCAAGCTCACGGCCAGACTTTTTTTAAACACAAGCGGGTTTTTAGATGACCCAATTATCATGAGCTCGTATTTATCTGACCCATCTGCATTGGCGCATATCATAAACGTGATGCGATCTTTGGCTTTTTTGCGCCCCGGGAGAGGTTCCAATGCCACAGTACGGTCCGGTAGCATAGAATAAAATAAGCCGCACTCATCACCATTAAATTTGTCCTTTCTGCCATAAGAACTAATGATGTCCTTTATCTTAGGGAGCGCATCCTGCATTGCATGTAAATCAGCGTCTCCCGATTCCCCGTATGATTTAAACGAGCGTAGATTCCAGCGGCGCTTAAAATTATCAAGCCACCCCAGCGAAAATTTAAGAGAGCTTTTGAAGTCGTCAGAGCGTCTCTCATTATTGAGTTGTTGCAGTCGTTTGGCTTTCTCAAGAATAATTTCCCCATTAATATTGATGCCTCCATTTTGCTGCACACATATCCACTCGATTAATGCTTGTTCAACCGCGTGATTTTGCCTTGCTTTAAACGTTTCACTTTAAAGGGGTGGCGGCATGGTCGGACAGAGAGGCTCTCTTGTTGCGCAAAAAGGCGAGACAAAGCGGCTTTACTCGGCAAACATGGGATTTTAAATTCGTTGTGGGCCCATGCAGCAAGAGCGCGCTGCGAAGCATTGTGTCCTGCTTTTTGTCGCCGCTCTATCTCAGCGACAATCTTTTTTTCTGCAGAAGGTTCATTGTGTAACCCATTTTTGTGGTCTGGAAAATAAATTGCGATGGCGGACGGTGTGAGGAAAAAACAAAAGAAGCGCTTAGTAAATTCAAGAGTCGGGACTGCAGTAGGGCGGTTTATATGGTGATTTTTTTCTTGGTCCTCAATGGTGTAACGGTTTTCTAGATATGTTTTGATCCGTTAAAGCGGTTTCGCTTATCGCGAACGGAACTAAGGCTATTTTTTTGTTTATTTGTGGCGGTCTCCGACACCGGGGGACCGTTCCCGGTTTCTTTTATCGCGAGGTTCCCCTCATCAGGGGTTCGTTTTATCGCGAAACTACTGTATCCAAAAGGTGCATGCTCCTTTTGGATGGTGTTATCATATCAAATACGGCGTACAGTATATATGCGCGTACGCGACAATATTTGATGGTTTCGGAGGTACTCTAGGGTAGCGCCAAGCAGAAAAGTGTGAAGTAAAATGTGGCAAAATGTGTTGCAACACGTGGCGAAAAGTGTATGATAACCGTATGGTATCTGCAAGGCCTCGATAACTGCAACAGGTGGCGGTGCACCAGGGCGTTGCAGTTACAGTGCCCGCGCGATAACTGCAAGCCCCGATGACTGCAACTAGGCGATAAATCATCATGATGTGCACTGTCCTTTCCGGGGACGTGACTGAGGCATCTCTCGAAAAAATTGCGTCTGATTTTTTGGAGAGTAATTGTAGCGGTCAGGTACCCCTCTACACTTGTCGCGCGGCATGGACCGCAAGTACTCTTTTGGATTGTATGCAAGACGTAGCGCGAAAAATAGCACGCAAATATTCTGTGGAGCACACTGAGGACACTGTTGGTCCGTTTCCGTAGTTGACGCCGACGATACCGAGGCATTTTTTCAGAGAACTGTTTCCTCTCTGCTTTCACCACATGCAACTGAACTAATCCAGGAAAGCAACCACAGCAAAGTTTTTTTATTATTCGCGCAAGCATGTTTCATACTTCTATTCCAGAGATAGGGGTATCCTTGACATTCCCCACTTCAAAAAACAAAATCAGAAGTCATCCAGCTTGTCGTCCTCCTCTTCCGTTAACAAGCGAGCCACCAACAGATTCCCAAACTGGATTCCTGTCTCAATATCTCCATTCATTCCCTCCACGTTTGCTTCGTCTTCGAGATCCAGCTCCCCACGATCATTGCTTGACACTGAATTCATGCGCTTTAGTTTCCGATTCAGCCTCGTGACCTCCTTCGCCCACGGTGGCGCGTGAGACAGAGGCAAACCCGATCGATCCCCAGATGCCATCACTTGGATGCCTTTCCCAACTTTCATCCTCAGTAATGCTAAGGAAAAAACGCTAATCATTCTGCGAGTATCTCTCTGAGCCTTGGGAATTTCGGGCAAGGTCCCACAATCACAGAACCTCAAATAAATTGTCGCGGTAGTTAGCTGCGTACGATCGGGCCTCCCTTTGTGCCTTGAACCAGGCCTTCTCCCAGCAAGTGTCGTACTTAGATAGCAATTTATATTCTCCAGATTCATGAAGTCTGAGGGCTGCGACTTTCGCCGCATTAAACTCCCTGTTTCGTTCGGCATCCTCACAGTCATTTTCATCGTCTTCGTGATCAATTACCATTTCCTCTTCGTGATCTGTGCGGCCATGACCATCTGTATCGGATTTGAATGGCTGTGGGAAGGAAGAGCATGCAGGAATGCCTTGACCTAAAATATTATGGAAACTCAATGCTAGTATAATGATGTGCCGTTGTTGCAGGAGTAATGCAAAGTCGCTGAATGTAAGATTGAGCAGAACATACGAAATGGATACGGATTGCTTCAATAGCGCGGCTGTGTGCCTGCACAATTACTGAAAGGACCGTTTTAGACTTGCTGTTATCCACGATTTTTCTCGATAGAAACTTTTTGACATCCAGAATTGGCTTGTCTGACTGCATCGCAAATCTGGCTGCCCCAATAACAACCTTCGTCAGCTTGATTGAGGTTGCCAATGGTGCGTCAAACAGCTCATCCCCCTGTGACGAAACAAGAATTTGCAGCGATACGTGCAGCTTAATGTAGTTCTATAGATGGTGATGTGTCCGCGGTCAGTATGGTTGATTTGTAACACTTAATCGTTCCGAAGCGAGTAACCAATAACTTACCGAAGCTGCTTTGACCTGCTGCACAGTCTCAATACACCAGTTCATATGAAAAACGTTAGAGTACGCAGCATGTTTCTGGATATACATACATCAATATGGCGGTATGGGAATTGGGAGTTTACCTCTAAAATCTCTTTTTCCGCATCCCGTGCAGTTGAATCCCGGTGATCTCTGCCTACTGATCGCAAGTTCGTCTGGATTTGATTCAAGACATCCATTTGCTCGTCATGCTGCTTATCCCCGCGCTCTCGTTCTTTGTGTAGTTGTCGCTCCACATCATCCCGATCGGCCTCGTTTCTGAGTTACCATGCATTTCTGATCTCCGCGACTTCTCTTCTCAATCCTTGATTGGAAGCTTTCATATCACGAAGCTCAACCAATTTCTCCTTTGACAAATCTATCAGAGATCCAAGAACAGACACGAGTTGGTCAGTGGCAGTGGGCTTTCGAGGGGGGCGCGCGGCTCTTTTTCTGACTGCACCTGCTGCCCCAGGCGTCGACGGTCCCCCTTTGCTTCTATTACGATATAATTGGGAGGCCATTAGTTGCCCAATATCACGCTATACGTTGACATGGATAACGGAACAGCACCCAGAGAGTTGCAAAACGGTTCAGTGCGGCTTGACGGGAGCACAAAAAACTAAAGGTGTAAATCGCGTCAGAAATATGCGAAGCCGCGGGACTATCATGGCTCGTTTGTCTGAAGCGAAAGTCTTCATTAGATCGAAACGCAGAGGACTTGCAATCTGCGACAATTGGATTTTAACCTGCACCTGTATTGTTCCGCGCTAAAAACAATGGCGACAACTTGTCAACGTAACCGGAAATTTTGACCACGACCTCAATTGGATTTCCAACCCACACCACCCCGCTCCCTGCACAAGCACGACGCACCCGACTGAAGGCCTGTTACTCGCTCCGCGTACAATCGGACATATCAACACGAGCTGTTGCTTCATGCAAAGTGGGGGACAATCATGCCCGTCGGTAACCTGTTCGCATAAATTGCGATCGAACATCTTTGTGACGTTGCGCGATATATCAGCCCCTGATACCCCGTTACGGTCTCGATGCGCATCGTGGTGACACCCCGCTTTCCTGCCAAGGGTATTTCGTCTCACCACCGACTACCCGCTGGCGATACGACATTCGAAAAGACGCTCAGCGATCGGTCGATTGCGTACTCACACACAAGTCATGACACCCATCCTCATCCCGACCGGACCATACGTTGCGCTGCACACCGGCTACGTGCCATCGCCAAGCCATGTAACACCGCTGTGTTAACCCGACCACCAATCTCCTCGAAGTGCATTGTGGTTGTATTTTGTGACAGATCTCATCTTTTGCACACTAAAGCGTACACCTAATGTCAGTACTCGCTGCACGGGAACGTGTACTCTCGCTCTTGAACGACGTAGTTGTTACTCAGGACGCTTTAAGTTCTCAAACACAAACCTGTTCCGGTAAGGATGTGTATTTAAAACCCGCCACTTCAAAAAACCTCATGTTCTTACGCGTCGTAGGCGTATCAGGTAGATCATTCATCCTTCTTTGCAGCCCATATAGCTTTGACACTACCCAAGGGTCTGGTATTAACATTGCCGGTCGAAATAGGGACGATGGCAAGACACAGTCCAGCTTCACATCTCCCTTGTATTGCACGTATTTAAGCCTTTCATTGCCAAACTCTAGCACAACTTTTACATTGCCATTGTCGGGTGTAGTTGCTTCCAGCCTCCTGACTAAAGCTATTCTGCTTTTGGCAGTAGCAGCATGAGAAAAAATCGCCTGAACGACTCCAAAATGGATCTGGCCGCCATCTTTCTTATACTGAATTGCATCTTGTCGGGCGTAACCAAATACATTATATCCAGCGTAGATCGTCTGCGAAAAACTTTGTTCCAGACACCAAGGCACAGTTGCGAGAAATCTGATTGATTTAGCTACACGGTATATGGCAAGGTTTGTAGATGGCTGCAACGATCTTGTAATCGCCTTCTCAGCATCTTCTGATGAGTCCGTGTCCTCTATGTCCTGCTCCAGTAATAACACAAAACGATCTACATGCCCTTCTGGAATCACAGACTCAGCCGCCTCTTGTGCAGTGCATGGCTCTGGCATATTTTTGTTCGACAATACTACTGGTCTACGAGTCAGCAGCAGCTGCGATCTGGATTGCGAACCGTGGGCATCATGTTTTTTGGTTTCAATGATGGCTCTAGCGCTCAGCAGTTGGGGGGCAATTTTAGACAGCTGCTTGTTTGTCGAGCGATACGCTAACTTTGTTGCTTTGTGAAGTGTCTCATTGCCGTCAGTGGCCCCTTTCCTAAAGCATCCGAAATCCAGGTAGTGGTCTGATATGTGCCTCATTGTTCTGTGTAACTTTGTGTTTACTGCACAATTCAGTACAGTCGCTGCCTTTTTTCCAACTTCATATCCCAGCCTTGCTGTGTCACTGATATCTTCCCTCGTCTTGCTGGCAACTTCAGGCTTCTGGTTAATACCAAGAAGTTTGCGTTGCAAAAAGTCTATCATGAGAAGCAACTGCACGAAAGGGTCGTCATCCGGATTAATACTTTGCGGAATACCCATCACAGAATACCACAGAAAGGGAGCCATCTCACGCCGTATTTTTCCGGTAACACCCGCATGTCTTTCATTCGCTCGCTTTCTAAAAGGCTCAATCGTCGGTAGCTGGCATGATCTCGGTAGGTCCTGTACTCTTTGATTGGCAATGGAGACAATTTTTCCCTTTGCCATGCCGTTGTATTGCAGTGCCGAGTCAAATACGTTGAATGCATCGTCCGTGACCTGTCTTAGTATCCCGTGCTCTATCACATGGAGCTTATCGAATGCGACGGAAGCGTACAACCGGAATGGATTCGACCCAGCCCCCGCAAAAGCGGCAAGAACGGGTGGAAAGGCAAGTGCGCTCACATTGCAAAGATACTCTGTTGCCTCTTTCAGGAGTGGAACAGACGATACGTCTCTCTGTATTGAACGGTTTTTGGCAAGCAATAGCTTGTTTGTCACAGTTTTGTAGACATCTCGTCCCGGATAGGACGTGGGAGCAGTCTGGGTTGTCCAGATATTTTCACATGTGGCTGCGCTCTCAGATTCACGAAGGAAGTCTCACTTTCATTATTAGATAGAAAGGATGGTGCAGATTGTTGTTCACTTTCTGTTCTAGATTCGTCTTGTGGTGCTTGGAAAGCTCGCTTTCGCTTTTTCAATCGGGAAGGCATTGTGCAGTGCGTACAATCACAAAAGCTGTCATGTCCTTTCAGACCACACGTCGGCCTCTCCTGCACTTGGTCGGCGACGTTCATACTCAATCGGGGGAAAACCTTGACGCCATCAACAGTAGTACCGGCATGAGACCTCAACAGTGCTTCCCTCAATACCAGAAACGTGAAGTTATGCCACAGCTGAACTTTTTCCTTTTTTACAGCGTCATCAGACGGCCGCTTCTCGATGTTGTCAAACTTCGGAGTCGGGACAATTCCAACCTCCTGCCAGACGTCTGTACGTCCCTTCAAATTAGCGAATCTCACCCTCATGTTGTTGGCACTTTGCGTGCCTGAGCTACTTAACGTAGTGCCGTCGCTGTAGATATCTATCATAAGATTTCTTGAATCACCGCTTACTTCTCTGGTGTAGTCCTCCATTGCTTTCTAATACCATGGTGCTGAGAACCGCCTCACACCTGTAGTACAGTCTTTCTCAAATGGCAAAACTGAATCAATTCCCCCTGATTCTTTAATCTCCTGTATCATTAAGTCGAAAACTGGTCGAAATACGCCCGTCTTATTGATACCGTGGTCAGAATGTATGACGGACGTCCTCCAGCCCTCAAGTGCGACTATGCGCTTCCTTGCTTTGTAAAGGTAGGTTGAAAACCGATCCGCGTTGTCGAACTGAATAGAGAGTTTCCTCTGGGCCTTTGGGTAACTTGATTCTAGAAATGCCAGGAGATTAAACAAACACCGCGATTCACTCAGGGTCAGGTGGGCAGCTGTGTAATACTCCAGTACAGCCTTTACTGCTGGATCGAGGTCTTTCAAAGAACGGAAGGATGGGGGTACGCTTGGATATAACTTCTCGGATGCGTCTCTGAACGAGGCGTAGTAGTTGTAAACCCCGCAGGCCACTTCACCACGTTCTGAATTTCCACTCCACGGTCTCCCTTGCTCCGCGTTATCTTCTTCATGGAAGTCATTAGTAGCATGCAGATACTGTTTTCCGTCAGCAAATATCGCAATATCGAGAGAGGAGCAATCATAGTCGGCATCGTTCGCCTGCGGCGGTGATGTATCGCCACTGCGTTCGTCGCTGACCGCGCAACTGACAAAATGCGGGGTTAAGATTTGCGGGAGCAGATGTCGATAAGCCGAACGGTTTATCAACTGGGATAACAGTGCCAAGTAGCGACGGTGGTGGCGAGTTATCGTCATGTTGAACTATAGATCCGTTATGTGCTCTGTTGATGTGATTACCAAACACAACCTTGTTTGAATATTCTTTCTCACACTCATATGTTCTGTTGTTCTGAGTAACTGCCGAGCTTGAACTGTTCATCGCAGTTGTGCGTTTCGAAATGAAATACAACTATGAGAAATTGTGAGGACGCTGGGGCGAGGGCCGGTTTGGCGTGTGGGTGGTGTACAGGCACGGGGGGTGCGGCGATATTTGGGGATGCACAGGAGCGGAGGTGGTGGTGTTGCGCTGGCTCAACTTCGGGACGAGAGTATCTGTTCTGTGGGACTCTGCAGCGTGTGAGGGCGGGGGAAGAGCCGGTGCGGGGTTGAGAAGGTATTTGGGGTGCAAGGGGTTTACGATTGGCGGGTCTTTTCGAGGATGAAGAGCTGTTTCCGGCACGACTAAGGGGGCGAAGGGGAAGTGGTTGCTAGCTGAGTGCGTGTTTGTTGACGGCGTGTGCGTTGGAGGACGGGGCAGGCAGGCAATGAACGGAACTCGGCAAAGGTAGAGGCTCGCCCTCCTGGTGGAGGTCGGTGAGCAAGGTGCTGAGGGCCTCCGATCTGCAACGTTGCCATCATGGCAACGTTGCAGATCGGAGGATGGGTTCAGAGCCTGAACCCAGCAAGATAATAAAAATGCAATTTTTGAACCGGCGAAAGCACGGTCAGAGAACCACACTTCTCTGATTGGTGCCCGCAGACATGATCCGTTGGTAACGAAACGTCCCTCTATCTGCGGACGACAATTGTCTCTCCAGGGACACAAGAGAGTACCTTCTGATGATGAAACGGCAACTGGGGAAGCATCTCCGGAGTGACCCAAAAATTACTAAAATATAGGGCCGTTTCAGATGTGATAACTGCAACGTTTGTTAGATACCTCCAGAGTGTGATATGGGCTGTTTTGAAGGGGTTAGAAAATATTCAGCCTTCGATCAGGCGACATCAGGCGACAGATGGTGGACGGGCAAGACAGTCAAAATATATATATGTTTTTCAAATAACATTTGAGGTGCTGGATCCTAGAATCTTATAGGATGCATGGTAGGCGTTATCATAAGATTCGATAACTGAAAATTGGCGATACAGTAACTGCAACAAAGGCCCCAACAAAGGGGGGTCTCCCCAGGTGTTGCAGTTATCGCACGGGGACTTTTTATCGAGCTACTGTACTGCAGCGCACGTGCAGTTTCACGGGCGTCCGCAGATGGGGGTGTGCGCGTGTGCACGGAGGCGAGCGGCGGCGGCGAGCGGCGGCGGCGAGCGCGGGCGGCACGACACGGCGGGGGCAGAAGGCGCAACGGCCGGTCCGGCGTGACTTCCGCGCGCCCTCAACCAGGCGGGCTGCGTCGCACGCGGTACAAGATGGAGGGCCGTGAAGTGAAACCGGAACATCGACTCACGGGTCTGCACGGGTGCCGCAACCCAGATTGCATATCCCTGATCTCGATCGCGCGACAAGCACAGTACAGAGTAAAGTCTCGATATGGTGAACCGAAATGTGGCGCTTCCGAGCAACCTACTGAGTTCGCCTTACCGGGCCAGTTCACAGTGGCGGAACTGCTCATGTACACGTGTAGCCGTTGTACAGGTACAGCAAGGCACATAACGTCACTTCCTCTGACACTGTGTATCGACGGGCGACGTCGACGGGCGCAATCGGACATCCAGAGCTCTTCCCGTTGTGAGTCAGCCTCCCTTTCTTTTCATTCTGCCTAATTTATCATGGAGAACATCCATGGAGCTGTGTCTCGTGCGACATCAGCTGCGCTTGTAGAACACGATCAAGTTGATGGTGATACAGATGCAGAGGACGATTCCTCTACTGTTCCCGCGGAAGGGCAAACAGGACGCAAACCGTCTCTAGGTCGGTACCGCGCAGCATTGGAAGCTCTTTCTAAAGAACTCCATTGTATAATGACGGACACGAACTTAGTTGAATCGGGGCTGCCGTCGAGCCTCAAATCGCTCCTGTTTGAAGAACAAAGCCGCGTACGGAGACTTGAACGTATGAATCTGAAGCAAGGACGTATTGATAGCTTCTGTATTCGTTGATGGTTCGTTTCTAGTGCGCATTTCGGCCTCGATAAAGTGAACTCTGGGTTTTTCATATTTTTTATGTTCATGGTATCGCGTAGTTCGTTCTATAGAGTCTGGTTGACCTTAGAAATACAAAACCGTCGATTCTGGGGCAAAAAAGCGGGGTGGCGCCTCCCTCATAGTCCTTCGGTTCACGGTACCGAGACAGTTGATCATATCCGGTACGCAGCTTATCGAGACTTTACTCTGTAGTACTGTGCACAACACTGGCGGCTCCTCAACGCAAGTTGACTGGCGCACGCGCAGCAGGGGCGGATTGGGAAAGCGGGCAACGGCGTGGCGATCCGGCGCATCGGCTTCGGTTTCCGCCGCCCCCCGCCGCCGCCACCGAACTCCGCGACTGAATTACAGTACCGCGGGGCCGCCGGAGAAGCCGGCCCTCTCCCCGATTGAAAGTTTCAATTTGAAACGGCCCTCAGCACAGCTGTCAGGGCACTTCGGAATCGACCCCTTCGGAATCCGATGACTCCGCGACACGATACAGGCGACACGATACAGGCGACACGGTTATGTATCTGTAAACAGTACGTGCGGCGCCAATGGGACGACACCGCTCCCGCGCTGCCCCTATCATACCTCTCTCCCCCCCACAATTGATGGTCTCGAATTTCCGATATTGCGCGGGGGGCGGAAATCGCCGCGGCAGCAAGTAGACTGGGCGCGCGCCCCGCCTCCCGGCGCTGTCTCCGGGCGCGGCCGACAGCGCACGCCGCGCCGCAAGCGACTGACTGAGCTTGCCCTCCCGCGCGGCCCCTCCCGCGCGCCCCCCCACCGGCGCGGCCCCGTTGGCCGCGCCCACTTCACCCGCCGCCTCCCGTTTCGCCTCGTCTGACGC